CTATTTAAACCTTATTACCGCAAGCCACCCATGTATAAACTTTTGAAATTACTTAGTACAGAAAATGTTACAGAACTGTATAATTTTGGAAAATGAGTGAATATACCTTGTAGTGTATGGCTTGAACTTGACTTTGTATGACATTGTATTGTGCAAAATACATGTAATATAATATCAATAAGCTGTATTGCTTACGATACATGTAATAAAAGAGTTGAAAAAAAATGAAACCCAATCGCCTAATGAACTGTTTGAGCTGGTCCTTCTCCAGCTTCGTACCGAAACAATCACTTCGTGTTAATTCACCACACGCCTCATGTGTGAAACAGCGTCCATCAACCAATCAGACGTTAGTAGTGGAGGCTGAAGTTTATGGTCCACGAAAGGTCAATAGGAATTCAAACATTCCCGCTCAGCAACATAACAAGCCACGCATGTATCAGTCATCCAGTACATCTGGTGTACTTCCTATCCCCGATTATCAACGAACGGGAACGGCCAACAACGCACAGCGATTCCATAGCAACTCAGGCGAAGTATACACGTAGAACAGAGGAATCCTATCTCCGTGTCCAGTAATGTCAGTTATAAAAGTAACATTGTGCCAGGACAAAACATCGGTTCACGAGAAGCTTCACTCCAGACTTTGTAAATATTGTAAATAATTATGATATTGTTTGCTTGTATGAGTGTTGGGTCGATAAAGAAGATGTTGTTGAATTATTAGGATATGAAGCAGATATTTTCAATAGATTACACGGTAAAGGTGGCGGCATTGTTATTTTTATTAGATCTTCGATTGCTTGCCATTGTCATGTTATTGAAAATATAAATGACAATATTGTTTTACTAGAAGTATCTCGTGATGTAACGAATGACAATGCTGATTGGTATTATTCTGCATGTTATATCCCGCCTTTAAATGGCACTTTTTATAAAAAAAATGCGAAGATGATTTGTTTTCCTGTCTAGAAGAAATGATGTGTCAGTACAAAGATGTGGGTAAGGTAATGGTGCTTGGTGATTTTAATAGCAGAACGGGTAACAATAATGATTATATTAATAATGACAGTATCCCAGAGTTTTCCGCCAATGTTATCCCCAATTATTGTATCGTATGTGCCAGATTCTGCACCAACTAAACGTTCCAATTTAGACCCAGTTATTAAACCGTTTGGTAGTCAACTTTTATCCTTGTGCAAGACTCCTGCCTTAAGAATAGTTCATGGAAGGCACAACAATGATCCAAATGGCAGTGTTACCTTCTATAATAGTAGCGGTACTAGTCTTATTGACTATGTATTAACTTTTGAACTGTTGTTGGAGATATTATCAATTTTGAAAGTGGGGTATTTAATGCATGCTTTATCAGACCATTCTCCAATATGTGTTACTCTGCGTTCAAATGTTGTAAATTATGTCCAGGAACAAGTTGGTAATCAGAATCTGACACGTATATGATGGAATGATAATAATACAGAAACTTTACGTCATATTTTAGAAAATAATAGAAACATCTTATTGTTGTGACAGTAATGATGTGAGCCAAATTGGTATCAATGGAAGTGTTGAAAATGTACTGATCTTCTGAAAAAGCTGTTATCACCTCTTAGTGTTGTTACCCATCCTGTACGTGATTCTAAGAAAAAAGGCAAAGAAAATAAACCCTGGTTCAATGAAATTTGTTATGTTCAATTCATGTAAGAACGAAGAAAATCATGCTGCACTTGTTTTTAAAAAACGCAATTATAAGAAAATGGAACTTAAGTTGAAGAGGCAGTACAAAAACACATTAAGGTAACATGTTGAACTTTATGAGAAAAAATAATCCAAAACATTTTTATAGATATTTCATTAACAGAAAGAATAATGTGAAGTCTTCACTTGATGAACATGATTTTTATCCACATTTTAGTAATTTGTCATCCAAGAAACCTTGTGAAAATGAGGCTGTAACCGATTTTTTTGAGAAATTATGATGCCACTAATGATATACCTAAAGCTATGTTTTATGCACTGGACATTGACATTTCTAAAGAAGAAGTTTGTAAAGTAATCAATAACTTAAGCACAGATAAAGCATGTGGCCATGCTTTGTTGATTAATGAGGTGTTTTTTTATCAGAGGTAAAGAGGTTTTATTACCTTGTCTTGTTAAATTATTTAATAAAATTTTCAAATCTGGTAATTATCCTTTCATATGGTCAAAAGGTAATATTATTCCCTTATTTAAAAAGGGGGAAAAAATGACACAAATAGGAATTACTCTAGTTAGTTGTTTAGCCAAAATATTTGAAGCAACCTTAAATAATATTCTAAAATAAGTGACGCTCAATTTGGTTTTTAGAAAGCTTATGTCAACCATAGCTGCTGTGTTTGTCTTGCAATCGTTAATTGATAGAACTTTAAAGAAGAAAAAGAAGCTATATTGCTGTTTCATAGATTATAAGAAAGCTTTCGATTTTGTTAACAGTCATAATTTGTGGGTTAAACTAATAAAGGAAGGAGTAGAAGGTAAACTGTTAAATATGATACGTTCTTTATATAATGATGTAAAATATTGTGTTAAATTCAACAATTCAATGTCTAATTTCTTCAAATGCTGGAAGGTTTGTTCCCAGGCGAAATATTGTCACCGATTTTATTTTCTCTTCATGTGAATGATTGTGAGATGCATTTTTTAACTGATAACTGTCATTCTATAGAACTCCAAACTATAAACTTATTTCTTCTAATGTACGCAGATGATACGGTTTTGTTAGCTGAATCGGCATAGGGATTGCAAACAATGTTAGACACACTATTACAATACACTAAGAAATGGAATCTAACTGTTAATGTTGAAAAAACTAGTCATAACTTTTAGAAATGATGGTAAGTTGAAGAAAGAAGAAAAATGGTTTTATGATGGTAATGTTTTAGAAAATGTTGATAGTTTTAGCTACCTTGGAATTCTAATGAAATTCAATGGTAAATTTAGTATTACACAAGAGAATTTAGCAGAACAAGGTAGGAAAGCACTATATGCTGTATCCAAACTTTGTAAAAGGAAATATTTCAAATATTGAAACCCAACTTAGCGTTTTTGATACTTTTGTGTGCAGTGTCCTAAACTATGGAGCTGAAGTTTGGGGCTTTCACAAAGCTCCAGATATTGAAAAAGTGCATTTGAATTTTTGTAAACGAATTTTGGGTGATAAGAAATGCACACCTAATGTAATGATTTATCAAGAATTAGGGAGGCTACCTTTACATATGATTAGAAAATTTAGAATTTTTAAATATTGGCTTAAACTTAGAATTTCGGACAATTGCAATTTAAAGGCTTGTTACGATGAGATGATTGAAAAGGGCAGCGACTGGACAAATAACATAAGAAATGAATTATGTAGGCTAGGTGTGGGATATTTATGGCTAACAGAGGGTAATGAAGGTCAAATTCTGAATATTATTAAGTGTAGAATGCATGACATTTTTCAACAGTGTCTAGATTTAATTAATTCATCTGCTAAGTGTTCTTTTTATGAATGGATTTGTGTTATTTCTTGTCTTAAACAGTGTTTAATTAAATCGATTGGATAACAAAATATAAAATAAATTTGTAAAATTCGGTTGTCATCGCATGCGTTGAATATTGAAACGGGTAGATTTCATGGTTTAGAGAGAAAAGATAGAGTTTGTATATATTGTAACACTGGTGATATTGAAGACGAATATCATTTTATTATTAGATGTAGTCATAATACTGATTTAAGAAACCGTTTCATTAAAAAATATTTTCATGAAAAACCTAGTTTGGCAAATTGTTTAGATTTGATGACAGCAAGAAATAATAATTAACTGTCTAAGTAAGCCAAATATTTGAACCAATGTCAAAAAGGAGATGCAATACTGTTTAAGATTAAAGGAATCACTCTCTTCATTTTATCGTGCATGCATGGTCGGAAGGTTGTATTCTCTGTATTCTCATACATATATGTACTGTATAATTAGCACTGTAATTATGCACTGTACTGATAAACCGCAAGGTTTAAGGTAATAAAGAATGAATGAATGAGAGAATTGTGTCAGCCCTTGTGGGGTGGACTCAGTCCCCTCACCTTTTAGAGAACAAAGAAAACTGTTTATATAGGAAGACAATGGCAGATCAATTATAGTCTGTTTCATACTTACCCCACAGGTAATTTGCCTGTGTGAAAGTTACCTGTCTGACTTGTAGCTTTTCTGTAATTGTGATATGTTAGGTATTAACGGCTTAACTCCTTGTTGTTATTGACACACATGTACAATAACTGTATTAATTTTCATTCATTCTTTATTACCTTAAATCTTGCGGTTTATCAGTACAGTGCATATTATATACAGTGCAAATTATACAGTACATATATATATATTTAAACATTGAAGGTTTTTGCAAATAGTAATTTTTGATATACTGACCTCTTAAGACGTTGTACATATTACATATTAATAAAAAATGATATTCGTCTTCTACTTAAGTAGTCGACTTACAAATTGCACAATATCTCCTATTCCGCTCGATATTTCTATAACGACCGGTTTCAATTGCCAAAGAATGTGCATACATACGAAGTTTTGTTAAACATATTCTATATTTCTTAGGCATGTCACACGCTGTTGAGTTTTCACTATGCGATTACTGAAGGTACCGGGACTATGTTGTTTGTGATATTGTGGTCCAGAAGTGAGTCGCGATAGGAGCTTTGACACTGCGATATCTTGTCGGTGGTATAATCTGTTATTTCACAAAGTTCACTTGTTTGTGTATTAACATTATAGTAGCCTATTACTTTTATACATCAGACTTAAATGAACGTCAGACCGTAACGGCTCGTATTACACGAAATATGTATACGTGTACATTTTACTAACGAGTTTGTACACGTAGTCAACCGGTAAGTCTAGATATAATGCATCTATTTTGAGAGTTAACACTCTCGGTCACCACTACGTTTCAGCAGGAAGTTCCCCATTGCTAAGATGGCGACCAATGTTACGAGGGGAGTATCGCTGTCATGTTTACTGTGTTTAAAGGAATACAATATACCGAGGACTTTGCCGTGCCACCATACATACTGTGAGGAATGTTTGAAACACTACATCGAAAACCTTTCTGGTGCGGAGTTTGTATGTCCTGTTGGTTGCAATGTGGTGGGAACTATAGACTCCAGTATACAGATGGACGAGCTGATTAAGACATTTCCTATCAACGTACTGTATGCTTCGCTCGCCAAGTCTGCACGCCTGGACGAACGAGAGTGTGACCACTGTCCAAACCAAACCATGGCCAGACGTGCAACGATGTGGTGTAAAAACTGCGAAGGGTCATTGTGTAGAGACTGTACTGTCGATCACCGAAAACGACGGATATCTGTGAATCACGACATCATTGACATCGCGAAGGAAGGCAACCACGTGGTTGAGTCTTTTAGAGTAGAAGTGAATTGCCCCTGTCACAAAGGAAGGCAAATTGTTTCGTTCTGTTCCGTTCATTCTGAACTATGTTGCTCGGAGTGTTGTAAAACACGTCATGTCGGCTGTACATTATGGACTATAACTGACGCATCGCAGAGACAAGTCGCTAATATGAACTTTGAGCAAATGGCTAGGAAAATATCAGATTTATCAAATAAACAGAAAGATAACATGAAAGAGTTGGACTCACAATACGAACAACATCTTGTCTCGATGAATACTCACATCATGAATGCGAAAGACAAATTAGATACTTTGCACAAACTATTCCAGGTAAAAACTCGGGAGGAAAAGAAGGCAAGGAAACGCCAGTTGGAAATACTTCAGCAGCAGACACGGATGTTCCAGACAGAGCTAGAAAATAATTCCAAGATTTGTTCCTCAATAACAAAGGGAATTTCTCAAAACCAATCGTTCGTTGTGTTGACACAAATCAGGGAGCAGACCAGAAAACATTTCGAAGCCATACAATACATTCTTGACGGTTACATCGATGTCAGGGTCGACCTACAAATCACAGACACGATAGAACATGTAGAATCTCTGAAGTCTGTTGGCGAGGTCACTGAGACGCTTTACCAGTCTGTCGTATTCAAAGATGCTTTAAATACTATCGAGCATGATTTAATATCAGAGCACTCAAGTTCTTCGGATTCCTACCCCAAAAACGATTCTTCATATTGCAGCATGGACCTCCCGACGTCAGAACACTTCTCAGAAGAGACAACGGTTAAACATATTTATCCAGAGCAACAATTGGTGAAAACCCCCAGGTTAGGGGTTCCTGGTCTTCCCCGACCTTGTGTGCCCTCAAGACCGGAGTTAGTTCTAGGAAACACCTTAAAATGTGTGATAAGTGTCAAGTCATCTGATCTAGGAAATCGCACCTGGTTAACTGGAGGAACCTATCTCCCGGACGGTCGGCTGATATTAGCTGACTTCGGAAACGGACAAATCTTACTTTGTGATGAAAGATACAATATTATAAGGAAAGAAAAAATGAAGGTAGGGCCGCAAGAGATAGCTTACTGTGAGGTACAAAATGCAGTTTATGTCAGGACAGGCCCACAAATTGTGAAATTCAGCCTCGACCCATTTGCATTAAGACAGATTGGAACAATTGAGCTTCCTGCTGGAACAACCCACCAATGCGGTATAGCATTATATGAGGATACTCTTGTCGTAGGCTCGCTCGGATCTGTCCTACTGATGTCCAGGGACGGTAAGGTGCTGAGGGTGATTAGACGGCAGGGAAAGCCGTACAGTGTTACAATCTGTCGTCCTCTTCAGCGGTTCTGTTACATGCACAACGACGATATAGTTTACTGCTCCATGAACGGCGATGAAGTGTCCAGATACAATAGAAAACACTACGAGTGCAAGAAAGTACGTGGAATGGGCTTCGACATGTACGGCCATCTGTACCTATGCTGCTTCACTCAACCAAGAGGTTACATATACCAACTACCACAGACTGGACAAAAAGGGCGTGTCCTTTCGTATCAGGGCAGCATGAAACGCCCACGGTTTGTCATGTACCATCCCAGGAAACAAGAATTCATCGTGACGTCATTTCAAGAACGTGTTGCCTTCGAAGTTGCCGTGTTTGATTGAAACGTGAAGTGAAGTAATCGGAAAGTTGTTGTGACGAAGCAATGTGACGAACCGCTCGTTGTACACGTGATCAGCACTGCAGAAAATCAGTGGGGAAATTCATTGTTGGAAGAGTATTATTGTTGTGTGCTTAGATCGTCTAAAGACCTGTTTCTGTGCACTGACCTTTTGCGCATCGCTGTGCGCTTACCGCGTTTTCTTTACGTCATAATTATTTGGGTAGAAAAAGTAAACATATAGTTAACGTCTGCGATGATGTTGAAGAAAATGAAGTCAATTAAATCAATTTTACTCAAAAACACACGGAAAAGTAGCTTTTCTACTAGTACTCTTTATAGAACTAGAAAACAATAGAAACACTCCTGGAAAATGTAAAATTTTCAACATTATTTATATGCAACATTTCATCATTGTATGCTTAGCCTATTGTTTGTTTGGCTATTCTACAGGTAGCGCTTTAAAGTATGATGTTTATAATTTTCTGTGAATTCCCTTCTTCATTTTCTTAGTAATTGTAATTATCCTATGCACACTATTCGTTTGTGATTCCAAATTGTAGCAAATACAAACGTGATTACCATTTTGCAAACATTTTCCCCAGACACACTTTCATTTTTTTGGACTTAAGCGGTGTCACAGAATATACAGTTTGTGTTAGAAATAGACGGGCACAGAAACTGGTCACATAATGGCGTCGTTCAATGACAAGATAGTTTAATAACTTTTCATTGTAGAGTAAAGGAAGTGACTCAAACTAACAATCCAGTTAAAATTAAAGACTACAAATTATTGATAACCCGACCGTGTAAATCACACCCCTGTAAAAGTTTGCTGTTTTTCGTTTATTCGGCAAATTTGACATGAAGGCTCAAAAACTGGTCACCCGATGCTAGGAAACGTCGGTGGTTATTGTCCAGTGAGTGTAGACATTTCTGTTGGGAAATGTTGAAAGTTTATTGTCATAGGCTTGTAAGTGTGGACTACCAGGAAATGATGACGTAACGTGACAAAAGTGTTGTATGTGGGAACAGAACGTTTGGCCAGGAAACATTTGATGGGATAACGTGAACTGTTATTGTTTTGAAGGTGTAGAAGTCTTGGCCAGGAAACATTTGTTGGGTAACGTGAACTGTTATTGTTGAATTTGTCGAGAATTCCCCACTAGAACACAGCAGTATGATATGAATTGTGAATATTTCGATAGGAAGTGTGTGTTTACTAATCCTCACAGAAATGATCACGTGATCACGATCTAGAATCACAAAACTTCTTAACTTCAAGAACGTTCGCAGCAATTAAGATTTAGTTCTATATTTGCTGAAATATTACCTAACGTTTTAAGTCAATGTTCACACATCACCTCTGTACTTGTGTACGTTGAACATGATAGAAAATCAACTCTGCAGGGAAATGTGGAATTTCATATTTAGGTTAAGAACATTCTTAATATGTTTCGTAAATGACCAAATTTTTGCGGATACTGATCTCCAAATTCTTATCATAAAAACGACAAAATCAATACCTTATGTCAATAAAATTGTTACTTCAATTGCACTTTTACCAGTTTCAAATATAAGAAATTATCAATTTGATAAAAACCTCTATACAGCAATGAAGATATATTATACGAAGTGTTATATCTCAACATATTGAACATTTCACTTTCAGTATTGTCAAATAATAACGCTACTTTCTTGTGACTGCGAATATTTTCAATTTCAATTTCAGATGAAATTTTACCCATTTGCTACATCGATTACAGTATTATCACTACCTAACATTATTAAATTGATATATTTTTAGCTCACCTGCCCGAAGGGCAACTTTAAACAACTTCTTCTCAGTAACCAAAATGCCCAGGGTACTGATATTGGGCCTGTAGCATGCTGGGATGAAGGGCTACCAAGTTTGTTCAAATAAATGACCTTGACCAATTTTTAAGGTCACAGGGGTCAAATGTCTTAAAATCTTCAAACAACTTCTTCTCAATAACCAAAAGGCCCAGGGTACTGATATTGGACCTGTAGCATGCTGGGATGAAGGACTACCAAGTTATTTCAAATGAATGACCATGACCAACTTTCAAGGTCAAAGGGGTCAAATGTCTTAAAATCTTCAAACGACTTCTTCTCAATAACCAAAAGGCTCAGAGTACTTATATTGGACCTGTAGCATGCTGGGATGAAGGACTACCAAGTTATTTCAAATGAATGACCATGACCAACTTTCAAGGTCAAAGGGGTCAAATGTCTTAAAATCTTCAAACGACTTCTTCTCAATAACCAAAAGGCCCAGGGTACTGATATTGGGCCTGTAGCATGCTGGGATGAAGGGCTACCAAGTTTGTTAAAATGAAAGATGACCTTGACCAATTTTCAAGGTCACAGGGGTCAAATGTTTTAATAATTTCAAACAACTTCTCAATAACCAAAAGGCCCAGGGTACTGAAATTAGGCCTGTAGCATGCTGGGATGAAGGACTACCAAGTTTGTTCAAATGAATGACCTTGATCCACTTTCAACCTGATGTCCTTGTTCGACATTCAAGGTCACAGGCGTCATATGTTTAAATCTTTTAATAGGTTCTTATGAATCAAACACTGATATTCTGCCTGTAGCTGTATTTTAGTCCACTTTTAAGATTACAAGTGTGAGATTAATACCAGGTGAGCGATGCAGGCCCATTGGGCCTCTTGTTTAATTTGGGAATCTTACCAAGTAAGAGCAGCACATGCGTTATCCTATTAAAAATTGCCCTTTGCCCTGTGGTCCATCGTGTGACGTCATTAGAAACTGGGGTCAAATATTACACCGCTAATTCCCGCACTTTTTCGATACAATAATATTTGCATCGTGCTACTTTAAAATTAATTTTATTATGATAAACTGATAATAACATGTTGATGCTTGAGTATTAAATTAAACATGTAGAGTATATTTAATGGTTTACCGGTGAATACCATTTCACGAGTATTGCAGTTTATCGATATTTTTTCCGAGTGTTTAAATCCGTGGACAGTATCGGTTTATTCTGCCATACGAAATATAAGACTAGTATTGAGGAATATATAGATAAATTCACTCAGGAATCGACATGTTCGTTTATATACATTGCATAATATTCAAGATGTACAGTAATAAGTAAAGCATATTTATAATATAATGTAAAAATATAACAAAAATACATATATAGCCCATATAATACGTTTTAGTGTATTTTTCTTGACCTATATGTTTACATGGTGTATTAACAAGCATGTGATTCCTGATTTTCCGATCAGGAATTTTGCTGATAAAAAAAGCTATATGGTATTATTTACAAGTATCATTAACCTGCTCAGTAATAACAGGGGAGTGTCTTTATACCCCCCTGTATCATAATGTCAATAGTGATGACAGCGTAGATGAATTGGAATAACAACACTTGTAGATTAACATACCTGAAACATGTTATCATGCTAAATACAACTATAAGGATAAACATTGTACTAATATAAAAGCCTGACTGGTATCATGCTGCATTTTCATAAAGTTCATTGCAATAAAGAAAAAATAATCTAGCAATTTGTCAACTCAGTAACAGCGTTACTCCTTCAAACTCCTTGATCTTTGTCACACTTTGAACAAAACAACCTACAAGTGTCAAATGTATCCACAACAAGACGGCCCAAAACAGCGACCAATGAAACAACAACAGTGTAAATGGAAAAAATACGGATCCCCCGAAGGGACATGGTAAAACATTTACTAAACCGTGCGCACGGATTAACAAACCGTGCGCACGGATTACCAAACCGTGCACACGGATTATTAAACCGTGCGCACGGATTACCAAACCGTGCACACGGATTGACAAACCGTGCGCACGGATTACCAAACCGTGCGCACGAATTACCAAACCGTGCACACGGATTACCAAACCGTGCGCACGGATTACCAAACCGTGCGCACGGATTACGAAACCGTGCGCACGGATTACCAAAACGCCGGGTGTATCAGTTACCAGGAGTTATCTTTCTGTTCTCATTAGTTCTTCCCCGATATATGATAGCCAATTCCTACCGATCAACGGGAAGCCTACATTACGTAAGTATCGCGAACTTGACATAACTAACAAGGCAGATATGAAGATCTACTCAAAGAAGTTATTGATCCATTATTTGTTATTGATTAGCACCAAAATGTCCAAACATTTAGTGCTATTTATTGCATACAGTTGGTAAATTTATAAACGGGAGCACTTTGGTTTGCCATTTCTCATTTAAATTCGTTTACATGTGTATAACTCATCGCCCCTCCTCATTGGCTGATACTCTATATAGTAAGTGTGTTAGTATATTTCACAAACTGTGCATTATTGTATCGTTTCCCTCCGTGTTGTTTACATCTTATGTCAACTTATCACAAAACGCAGTGACACTATGAAAACAGACAGCAATTTACTCCCTCCTTTTGTCCATAAATTATCCGTGACATTTGGAGAAATTGGGTCGGTTAGGGTAAACTGCCCCGCCCATATTGACATTGGTGACACAAATCTCGTCAAAGTTTTGATAAATGGGTGACACTTAATATTGTAACGGGGTTATCACCTAAACTTCCACGCTACAAGTGGTCTCTGTCAAGTTTTTGAGATATTTTTTAACACTGGTCACCTTTGACTATATGGTGAATGCAGATTGCAATACACCGATATTATAAGGGAGGGAAACCAGCACGATCCTATTCAACTCCTTTACGTAGTATTGGTGCAAGTCTGCCCCCGATCAATGTCACTCACCCTAGTCATTATACCCCCGGAATGGTTCAGGCAATATTTCAGAAATCTCACAGACACCTAGCTTTTTTTACCGGTCCATATTTCGGACCTCGACATATCACATCACCAGCCCCCCCCGCATATTTGTCTGGGAATTTCAACTTTCTGCTTTCTCAACTGTCACTAAATATGGTGATGTAAATGTACAAGAAGAGAAATTCATAGAGAACCAAAATATCGTG